GCGTCCCCTTTCGCCCGCAAGCCCCGCCCCTAGCCCCCTCTCCGGCCCTCCCTCCCACTCGGCGCCGCGGGGCCCCTCCGCGCCCGACCCCGGCAGCCCTAGCCTCCTCCCGACCTGGTCACAGCCGCTCCGGGAGCGAATCCTCCGCCAGCTCTGCCCCGCTCGCGTCTCTTCCCGCGAGCCCCCTCCCCGGCGAGCTCTCCTTCTCGCCGCCGCCGCCGCCCCTTTGGCCAACCCGGAAATGGATCTGCTCCCACCGTCCTCAGCGTCCGCGAACAAAATGGAGGCGGGGGAAACCGGAGGAGGGACCGGAACGCAGAAAGACGGAGGGCGCACGCGCGCGGGAAGCCCGCCCCCTGGCGGCGCACGTAAAGGGGGAAGCGGCCGGATCGGCTGCCATCTTTGGAAGGTCGCCGCCGTTCTGCACCTGGAAGCGGGGTTTGTGTCTTTGGCTGCGGTTGGAAGCACCTGGGGATCTTTCAGTGACTAGCGGTGCCACAGTTCCGACCTCCAGAGAGTCTCACTGACTAGGGTCCAATGCAGCCTAGGCATTGCGGCTTTTTAAAAATTGCGCAGGTGACACGAACGCGTTGCCGAGGTGGAGAAACACTTAGTGTTTCTTGAATATGCTTCTTTTTTGTCCTTACCCCGCCGCACGCACACACACCCTGCCCCTGAAGTATCCTTCCCAGACCTCGAGGTAAGAAGCGCACGCCTCAGCCTGCCCAGCGGGCAAGCCGTGGTTGTCATAGCAACGGAGAGGCCGGGCCCTGCTGACAGTCTTCCTTTAGGTCCTCTTAGTCATCTTTCCCTCGTTGAGTGAGCCTTGGGTTCCCCGGCTGCTCAGCTCGTGGCAGCGAAGGATCTGCCCCCCGTCCGCACACTGAAACACTTTACCACTGCGGCCAGCGCCGTCGATTTCCCTCTCCCGATGCTCCGGGTCCGCGCGGTTCGCAGCGCCGAAGCCGAAGGCAGGCGACGGGTTGGAACTGAGTCCGCGCCAAGTGCGGGGCCTCCCCCAGCGTCTGCACAGGAGAGCTGCTGGGGCTGTCCCTGGTGTGTCACAGGGTTCTTACAAGTCTCAAGCCGTGAATGGCACGGCATGTGATGAGCCGCACGTCGTTATTTTTGTTTTCTTTCTCTTCCACCATGAGCAGTGCCGGATCCCACGCACAGATCGAGTGAGAGGTCACAACGTGACCCTGGTCTGGGGCGGGCACTGGGCTCGCCCTCGGGTGACTAAGACGGAGCCTCTACCCTCAGGGGACTTAACGTGTTGGTGGGCAGACTGGCGTGTCAACAGCTACGTCAGCGGGTGACTAGTGTCCGGGGAATACGCTATGGAGTGTCAGGCCAAGGCGTGATTAATTGCCGCTAAGGAATGAGAGGACCAGGCGTGGTGGCGCATGCCTATAACCCCGGGATAAAATAGTTTTAAATTTTTAAAATGATTTGACGCACTGCTATAAAATATATACATACATATAGATATACAGATACAGGTGTAGATATGGATAGCTGGGTGTGGCAGTGCATACGTGTAATCCCAGCACTCAGGAGGCTGAGGCAGGACGATGGAAAGTTGGAGTCCAGCCTGAGCAATTTAGCAACCTACCCAGACTCTGCGTCAAAATAAGATTAAATAAATAAATAGGGCTGGGAATGTAGTTCAGTGGTATAGCACCGCTAAGTTCTACCCAGTACCGAAAAAAAAATCCACTATTGAACCAAGTGTGGTGATGCACAACGGTAATTCCAGCTACTTGTGAAGCTGAGGTAAGATAATCATAAGTTCAGGGCCAGCCTGGGCTACATAGCACGATCCTATCTCAAAAGATGCAAAAAAAAAAAGAGAAAAGAAAAGAAAATATATAGGTGGGTTTTAGTGTCTTCATAATATACAGCGACCAGCACTCCCTGAAATAGTTATTTTTCTCAAGCCCTATGTATTAGCAGTTCCCCCAGCCTTCTGCCAAGCCCCTGACAACCATTAATCCATGTTTTTAATGTCACTGTGGGTTTGCCTGTTCTAGACACTTCATTCTAATGGACTCACAAAGCCGGGCGTAGGGGCGCACGCCTGTAATCCCAGCACTCGGGAGGCTGAGGCAGGAGGATCATTGCGAGTTCGAGTCAGCTTGGGCTACAAAGTGAGCTCAAGGCTAGCCTGAACTGCATAGCGAGACCCTGTCTCAAAAAAAAAAAGGCGGGGAGCGGGCTGGGGGTTTAGCTCAGGGGCTGTTTAGCCCAGGGGGTTTAGCGCAGGCTGTTCTCGAACTTGTGGCTATCCTCCTGCCTCAGCCTCCTGAGTGCTGGTATGCACCACCATGTCCAGCTAGTAAACTTTTTGTATGCCTGAAATATCACACAGCACTTTTGTTTTCCTGAATAGGGACTGAACTAGGCCCGGGACCTTCACACTAGGCTGCATCTCCAGACCTTTTATTTCTTTCAAGACAGACACTAAATTGTCCAGGCTGGGGTCAAAGTTGCAGTCCTCTTCCCAATTCTTGAATTTATGGCAATCCTCCTGCCTCAGCTTCTGGAGTGTTGGAATCACAGGTGTCTGCCAGCAGTCAAGCATGTTAACTTTTTTTTTTCTGTCTTTTTGAGACAGGGTCTCACTATGCAGTTCAGGCTGGCCTTGAGCTCACTTTGTAGCCAGGCTGGCCTGGAACTTGAGCAATCCTCCTGCCTCAGCCTCCTGAGTGCTTGCTGGGATTACAGGCATGCACCACCTGCTGGGCATGTTTTGTTTTGTTTTGTTTTGTTTTGTTTTTAACATTTTCTAAAAGACATTTTTGAAACAACCAAGGAAACCTAAATAGGCACTGGGTACCACACGAGATCACAAAACCATTGCTGATTTGTTTAGGTGTGGTTAATTGTGTAGTAAGTATGTAGAAGTATGACCCATGATAAGGCTGTACAGGAATACTGGGGGAGGGTGCACGCCTGTATTCCCAGCACTCAGGAGGCTGAGGCAGGAGGATCATGAGTTCGAGACCAGCCTGGGCTACATAGTGAGCTCAAGGCCAGCCTGAACTGCATAGCGAGACCCTATCTCAAAAAAAAAAAAAAGGGCGGGGGGGGGGTGTGCTGGGGATTTAGCTCAGCGGCACAGCTCCTGCCTGGCAAGCGCAAGGTTGTGAGTTCAATTCCCGGTACTGGAAAAAAAAAAAGTTGTACAAGGAATGAAGTGATCATCTTTGCAACCTACTTTCAGACAGTTTTCAAACACCTGGAGTCCTAGCACTTGGGCAGCTGAGGCAGAAGGATGGTAAAATACCATGAGTTCAAAGACCAGCCTATGTGAGGCAGTGAGATTATCTTAGAAATAAAAGAAGACTTCCAGGTATAGTCGTGCATGCCTGTAATGCCACCATTCAGGCGGCTGAGGCAGGAGGATTCACTGTAGAGTTTGAGGCCAGCCTGGTTTGCACAGTGAGTTCAAGACCAGCCTGGACTATATGGTGAGAACTTGACTCAAAAATAAATACATAAAAACAAGCAATCAGGCCAGGCATGGTGTAATCCTAGCACTCGGGAGGCTGAGGCAGGAGGATCATTGCGAGTTCGAGACCAGCCTAGGATGCAAAGTGAGCTCAAGGCCATCCTGAACTGCAGAGCAAGACCCTGCCTCAAAAAGAAAAAAAAAAAAACCATCACTTGATCTTTTTTTTTTTGGTTTTGGTTTTTCTCTGGTACCAGAATCAAACTCATGACCTTGCGCTTGCTAGGCAGATACTGTGCCGCTGAGCTAAATCCCCAGCCCCCATCAATTGATTATTAAGTAAAATGCAATGCAAGGCAGTGCGGAGGTGCACTCCTGCAGCCTGGTCACGGGGGCAGCAGAGGCAGGAGGATGTCCTCATGAACACCTTAGTGATTTAAGAGGGTTTTGATACTAAATGGAAAGGGGCTGGTAGAGTAGGAGAGGCTGAGGAAACGCATTCTTCTAGGTCAGGTCTGAGTCGTCCCTGGGGACAGACCCCAAACAGGGACTAAAATCCTCCAGAAACTGCTCTCTACCCCTTCCTCCCAACGCCTAACGCCCCAGACGGTCATCTCGGTGGTGACACCTAGTGGACGACAAGGGCACTGCCCGCAATCCTCCTCCCTGTCCCCGCAGGAGTTTCTGGTGAGGGGCGTGCGGGCCACACTGGGTGCTCCACCAGGTCGCAGGGGCAGGAAGCGGCACTCGGGGTCTGGGTTTGCAGAGTCGAAGCTCCGGGCTCAGAGACTCTTGCTCGCTTTGAGGCCCAGGGCTGAGATCTTGGCCTCTCCCAGCCTCTAAAGATCTCCACTCTTCACCGGGGAAGAACAGCGAACAGCACCAGCCTCCAGGGTTGTGGAGAAGATAAATGGGACCAGGAATTCGTGCGCCGCGGCAGGGTGCAGGCCAGGCCAACCTTGTCCTCCCTTTGAGGACTGATGGATTTGTTTTGTTTGTTTGTTTTTGGCACCGGGAATCAACTCAGGACCTCTTGCTTGCCGGGCAGGTGCTGTGCCACTGAGCTACATCCCTGGCCCAGGTTTGTTTGTTTTTGAGATAGGGTCTTGCTATGTATTTCAGGCTGGCCTTGAACTGTGTAGGCCAAGCTGACCTCAAACTTGCAGCGACCTTCCTGCCTCAGCCTCCCCAGTGCTGGGATGACAGGTGTAGGCCACCACGCCTGGCAACAGGATCATTTACTGTCACGAGGACAGCTGGAGGAGGGATAGGTCAGCTCCTGGGACAGAAGATGTCCTGTCTTGGTAAAGCAGGGAGCAGGACTGGGGCTCCCATGCCATCTTGCAATCCCCCATCCCTCAGGTCCTCCCTGGGGGTGACTAAGACTCCTACTTCCCACCATGGCAGGTGCACGCCGCCGAGACACACACCCAGGAGATGTCCACTCTGCTGAGCACCCACCAGTGACAGGTCAGGTAAGGACTCCTGTGCTCTCCCTCCAGCCTCCCCGGCCACAGCCACACAGATTGGACACTGGACTATTGATTCCCAGACTTTATCAGCTACCCCCCATCGGGTTCTTGAGGACAAGCAGGTCTGCACCATGTGCGGGGCTCACTGTTGACCCGGGCTGGGGGGCCATGTTCAAGTAGGCTGGGGACCAGGAGAAGCTACTGGGGACCGGGAGGGGGGGGGGGGCGCGCCGGGAGGCCCAGGGACGCCTTTTGCATCCACAGGCATTGTGGAGGGGACAGGAAATGACAGACTGTACACGTGACCTATGATACAGTGTTTACATATGATACAAGGCCTGTTCCCTCTTTCAGGGTTTTAAAAAATAAATGTACAATTCCAGAGCTTTGGGTAAAAAATATATGTACACCCCAGAGCAGCAGCGGGAGCGGCAGCTGCGCTGGAAGACGGGAGGGCAGGAAGAGGGAGCCTGCACCGCCCGGGAGCCTCACCCCGAGCTGCCAGGAGCCCAGACCCTCGTGCTGGGCCCCAGGAGGGGACACGGAGGCCCTCCAGGCCTCCCCAGAGTCTAGTTTCCCCTTTACAGTCTTCGCCACCAGCCTCCACTCTACTACTTTTGGGGAGCTGCCTGCCAACGCCCCCAGCACGGTGGGGGGGGGGCGGGGACAAACAGGGCGGGAGGGGCAGTGAGTGCGGTCAGTGTCAGACAAGGGCCAGGGGAGCAGAGATGTGCGGGGCAGGCACCCGGCTCCTGGCTCCCCGCACCCCACCAACTGCAGAGCAGAGCAGAGAGAGGGTCCTACAGGCAGCTGAGGCCTGTGTTCCCTGAGCACACCCTCTCCGGGAGCCTGCCAGGGATGCTGGGGGACTCGGGCAGCCCCGGAGCAGCCAGGCCCCCCAGGCCTGACGTGCAGGGCAGCAGAGGAGCTGGGGGCGCCCACCCCACTCCACCCTGGGGGCACCTGCGCAGTCAAGGGTAGCACCAAACAGAAGGGACCCCTCCCTCCGCCACACACACACACACACACACACACACACACACACACACAGGCGTGGCAACGTTCGGGGCTCCATCCCTGACCCGAGGGAGACCAGACCACGTGGGGCGGGAAAGGGAACTCACTTAGGAGCGGGAGGGCCACCCCTTCCTGCCTGGGCAGAGGAGGCAGGAGCTCCATCTCTGAGGCAGAGCTGGCTGGGTGGGGACAGAGGAAGGAGCCCTCTGCTTCCTGTGGCTCGGGCTAAAGGGGCATGGGGGAGAGGCTTCCAGCAGGATGCCGACAAGTCCCCAGAAGTCCATCCCACTCAGCTGCTCGTGGGAGATACCCGTCACGGGGCGGTGGGAATGGGGTACAAAGTGCTCGGGTGCCAGGTGCCCAGGAGCCCGGTGGGGGTGGCTCTCACTGGCCACTGGCCTCCAGCTTGTAGGAGAGGTCAAAGAGGAGGTTCTGGTTGTCGATGACCTGGAACTGCCGCACGTAGGCCTTGGTCTGCAGGTGGTGGGGCGAGGCCTCCATGTCCAGGCCTGGAGCGGGGACAGTGTCAGGTAGGGACCCGGGCCCAGCCCGTCCCCCCACGGGAGCCCCGGGACTCACAGAGGGGCCGGCTGCGGTACTTGCGGATTGTCCTCACTTTCTCAGCCACCGAGTGCTGCAAGGTGACAAGGACACCCCGAGAAGGCTCAGGAGGGGGAAGGCGTGCGCCCTGCACCCCACTCCGCTCTGCAGCTCCCACTCGGGGGGGCTCTGAGGGCGGGGGGCAGCATGGGCCCCATGTGACTGTTGGCATCGCCACCTGCGGGCGGTGGTCCCAGCGACGCCACTGCGAAGGCGGCAGGGAGGGTGCCAGGCGCGCTGGGCACAGGGAGGAGATGGGAGCGGGCGCAGGGCTGGCAGTGCCACTCACCAGCTTCTCCAAGTTCACCAAGCCGTCAACCAGGGTCTTGCTGCCCTCATGCAGGAACGTCAGGTCTGGGGACAGGGACAGTCAAGAGCCAGGACCCAGGCATGAAGAGGGGACCCTGGAGCCCAGGGGAGGGGAAGGGACGGTGTGGGGACAGTGCAGGTCACAGGCAGGAGGGCAGCACTCACCTTTGAGGATCAGGGGCACGAAGGGAATCACGGGGGGCTTCATCTTGGAGAGGACTTCCCGGTAGCTTTTGTGGTTCCTGCAGGGGTCCTAGGGTTCCACAGAAGCGGGGTCAGGGGCGCATGGGCTCTGAGAGGTCACCACCCCCGCCCCACCTGGACAGACAGGGTGGAGGATGCGGGGCTGGGGAGGCGGCAACTGCTCTCCCCACCCCACCCCCGCCAGTGACGCAGAGGGCCGATGTGAGCGGGGGTCACGTCCCAGGCCAGCACAGGGACAGACCACTCACCGTCAGGTTCTCAAATTTGCGGAACAAGTTCTTGAATTTCCCTGGCAGCTTCTGCAGAGTTCGGAGAAGGAGAAGGAAGTCAGTTAGAGGGGTAGGGGGTGGGGATGGGGGGTGGAGTTAGCCCTGAAACCAGCCACCTCCACCGAGGGAGGCTGGAACCCTCTCTGGGTTTTTGTTTTGTTTTGTTTTGTTTGAGACAGTCTCTTTCATGCAGTTGGGGTTAGCCTCTAACTCAAGGCGATTCTCCTGCCTCAGCCTCCCACTGCTGGGATCACAGGTGTGGGCAGGGCTTTTTACTCTTACCCCTCAACCTGAGCAGAGCTATGTGCTCTGCTATGCTGCCCCTGATGCCCAGGAGGCTGTGGTCCCCATGGTATGGCCGGGTGGGGACGGGGTCCTCCTCACCTCCCAGGTGAGCCGCAGGCGGCTGACGGCAGCATTGTCCAGCCCCATGACCACAGCGTAGAAGGAGAGCAGGTCCTGGTTCTGCTTGCAGCTGCGGGGCAGGGGCGGCAGGTGTCAGGCGTCCACATCC